ATCTCTAGAGGTCCCTTCCAACCCCTAACCTATGATTCTATGATGTAAATGATTTTCTTCCTGATGTCCTGTCTCTTTGATGAAGTGTACTGCTTTCTTAACACAATACATGATATAGCAGTTAGAGAAAATACTCTTTAATGTCTGTCTCTAGGTGTGATGTCCGAGGCTCTGGCAAGGGAGAGCCTCGCAGGCCAACAGGAGGACTGTGAGGGTGGCTCGAGGAGAAGGAACTGGGGGCTTCTGGTCCCGGCTGGTGTTGGTGGAGTCCTGGTGGCACTCTATGTTGTGGTCACCCCTTTTGTCACCCCGGCTCTGAGGAAAGTGTGCCTGCCCTTTGTTCCTGCGACTTCCACTCAGATCCAGAATGTGCTGAAAATGCTAGAAAACAGAAGTGGCTCCCTCGTTGACATTGGTAGCGGGGATGGCCGTATTGTAAGTTCCTTTTGTATCGCCTTTCGGAAAAGTGCCAAATGCTCTAGTTGTGCCTGCTGTTATGTTGTTGTGTTTATGAATGTCTTGTCTTTGGCGTCCAGTGTTTTTACTTGAGTCTTATAAAACAGCTCAAAGTTGAGAAAGCTTTATGTGCAGTTTAGGTGAGTAACCAGCATTTTTTGCTCCAGTTTTACCTGCAGCTTGACCAGGTAGTGTACAGAATGGTAGCTGCTTCTTGTTGCCTGAAGGCAATTGCACTCATTCACATGAAAAGGTGCAATCGATATATTGGTGTTATGATTGCCAAAGAGCAATGATTCCACCTAGGTTTTCAAGCTGCAGCACATGGGGCTATGAGATTACATAGCACTGTGCTTTTGGAGCTGCAGCTTTGTGCTTGTATAAAGGCGATAACAGAATGAGTAGTGATGGATTACAAAAAGGAAAATGCTGTAATTGTTAGAACTCTAGTCTTCACACCTTTTTGCAGAGCTGGCTGCCTCACTTCAAAGTCAATGTGATGAAACTACAATAATTACCAAGAGAAATGGTAACAATCACCAAGTGATACTGTGCTTCCAGGACATTGTCTAAACCCAGTTTGTGAAATATGGTGGTGAGGATATAGTGCAGAATGTGTGGGTGTGTTTGTAGCTGTGAGGTTTTGTGTACCACTTCGTAACAATCTGTTTCAAGTCAAGTTTAGCAACAGGATGGCGTGCTAGGTGGGTTTTTGATGATAGCCATTTAAGTTCTTGAATTCTATCTTTGTCCATATTTCATGTGAACGAGTCAGCATTTGTCTGCACTAAAAATTCGATCTGGAAATCCGTATCTGTGAAGGTGGCTTAGAAGAAATTGTGCCTGAGTAGGAAATGGAGAAAAGCATGTAGGCATGAGAGAACTGCGGTTTTTGATGCCCTCTCTGCTCAGCATTCTGGCTGCTGGCTTTCATCTGAGACATCTAATGTGACTGCATGTTTAAGTCTAATTTTATATGTATGTGTATGTATATATATATATATGCATGTAAATGGAGACTGAAGACTGTTTGGGGAGCCAGGTACCTAAAATGGAATGCTTGGTGTTGCTTTAATGCATCTGTTCTGAAAAAAGTTGAGCTTCTGTTCAGATGACTTGAAGTATTTAGCACTTGCACAGGCGTAATTGGTGGATAAATATGGTCATATTTTTATTTCCAAGCATGGTAAAATCATCAGATTCTTCTAGTATGTTTGCAAATATGTGCGTATGATGGAAGATGTATTATTTTAATACTGTGAAATACACTTTCCAGGTAATGCTGTTTGAGAAATTATATTAAGAAATGTGCACTTCTTCCTGAAATCTACAGTTCATGAGGCTTTTGCTGATTAAAACTTTTCAGTACTTGTCGGTAATCTTTTAGATTATGACTTAAGCCATAATTCTAGAACCTCGTCCCTTTTCGTATGTCCCATATTTTTCTTTTTCTAAAAAAATATTTATAGGCTTTGGTCTGGTTTGAAGACACTTGCAATACAGTTTAACAACTGTAAATTCTAGGGTCTAATTTAATGTCTTTGAAAATTTATTTGTTGTCTGTATTACTTTTTGGCTTTTAAAATTAGGTATGAAGCTTAGCATTGGATGAAAGTTATACTGTGGAATTTGTGTGGCTTTTTCAGGTTTTTTTTTTAGCCTACGTTTAGATTTCTGGACCTACATATTTATTTTTTTTAAATATAGATCAACAGATTACTTACCAATAGAAAGAGTATGACATGATTCAGGAGTCTCACAAGTGCCCATCACTGCTTTTCAAATAAGTTCTCTAAGTTTTGACTGTTTCTACTTGTGTGTTTCACTGTTCTCTCCACAGTCAATTTTGGTCCTCTAATTCAAAGGTAGTGTCATGAATATGTTAAATTAAACTTTTATGTAAATCGTAGGCTTATTACAAGCTTACAGCTTTGCTCTGTCAATGTCTAAGTGGTTCATTTTGTTCATCTGAATATATCTATTAATTTCAGTGGGACTAGTCATAGCAGTAAAATGTAGTTTGAGTTTGACTAAAATGTTGAGGATTAAAACCTGAGTGATTTACAGAAGTGCATTCCTCTATTTATATTGTAATTAAAACTGTGTGCTCCTGTTTAGATGAATACACTTACTCTGTTTCTAAGTGAAGATTTACTTTTCTTCCTTGTAGGTGATCGCAGCTGCAAAACGGGGATTCAGAGCTGTTGGATATGAATTAAATCCCTGGCTGGTCTGGTACTCCAGGTACTGTGCCTGGAGAGATGGGGTACATCAGAACACCAAGTTTTATATTTCAGATTTATGGAAGGTAGGTGGTTAGGTATGTAAGAATGAATCTGGGGTGTCTTGAGAGATTTCCATGATTTGGAAATACTTTCTTGAAAGAACCAGAATGCTGACTGGCTACAGGCCAGGCTTTGAGGAAAGTGCTTGAGCCCGTTGACTTGGGGCATGATACACTGCTTTGCTAGTTTTGTGCTGTCCTCTTCCAGGACAGGACACTTGAGAGCTCTGTGTCATGCTGGTGCCTAATGAGCGGTGCAAGGTGCTGTCCTGTCAGCCTTCACCAAGCGCTGGTTCTGCAGACTTCCTTAGAAGACTGAATTGCCTGATGCACAAAACCACAATCTCAGTTGACACTTCACACGTGTTCTTTTCCAGCTGTGCTACGTTACCTGATTTTTTAGCTTACATACGCCTGGCTGAGATTTTTTTCCCACAATTTGCAGTTGTTTGAGCCACAATTGCTTCTTTAATGAGGTGCGCTTTCTGGGGTTGTGTTATTGCGGACCTTTATCCTGCTATTTTTTTCAAAATTGTGGGATTTTTTTGGCTTTTTTTGGTGGTTGTTGTTGGTTGGGCTTGTTTTAAGACTGGCATTTTGTAATGGGTAAAGTAGATACCAGGAATTTTGGGAAGAGGTGTGAATATAATGTTTTTATCTTAGTTCAGAGACAAGTGTAGGAAAACTTCGTGGCACTGACTGAAAGATTCCAGGCATTGGATTGCATGGCTAGCTATAATGTTTAACAGAAGTGCGGGCAAACTTTAAAACATGCATCATTTTAAGCTGTACAACAGTTGTGGGAAAAATGTAGCCATGAGTGAAACAATGTAGGTATTTTCCAAATGAATACTACTTGTGCTATTAGAATTGGTGCCATATTCTTGGACAGGCAGTACAAGTTTTTTGATGTTCAGCAATATAAAATCGTCTTTATGTGGAAATTTGTGTGATGAAAAGGTGATAGGGGATCTCCTTTCTTATTTTTGGTCTAAATCTCTGTTGCAAGGAGTGCAGCTAGAGGAACTGGGGAAATAAATGGTGAGAACTTGTACAAATATGAATGCTATTTTCATTAAGACTCGTGTTCAAATTTTATTTTAGGTGTCTTTTTCCCACTATACGAATGTTGTTGTCTTTGGGGTACCTCAAATGGTAAGCTTACTCTTTTTGTAATGTTTAATAATTTTAATACCAAGGCATTCTGTGTTAGTATATTCATCTGCAAAATGAGTCCATGTGCAGAAAGCCAAAGATAGTTAATATTAATGTTAATAGTAATACTTCAGTGTTGCTTATTAACGTCCATGATGAAAGCTGTTAAAACTTGTCATAGTATGCAGACTGAGCTCTGAAAATATTTTTTTTGAGAAGCATTTTCTGTCTTGTTAGTTCAGAACCAAAATGAAAACTACTGTGCTCAAGTTTTTTGAGGGGAAGGTGCTAGATTGCTTCTTGAAAATTTCAGGTTTTCGTACTGAAAAAACAAGGAGTTTGTAGGAAGAAAACAAAGTGGGAAATGGGCTACAGCTGATCTTTGTGAACCTTGTTAGAGCACTGAACTTTGTTTATGCTCACCTCAAATAGGCCAGCAACTGGTACATTGAAATAATCCCTTGCCCATGTTACTGCGAGGGTTTAGTAGGGGAGACAACTTGTACTAGAAAAGAAAAAAAATCTTACACATTTAAATATTCTTGGTATTTTGATTTATTATTAGAATCTTATACATACGTTGAATGTATATGGAGGAGTGAAGCAGAAATGTGCTATAAATGCTTCTGTATTGCTGCTGCTTCTGCTAAGACAGATGCGGGACGAAATGAGTGAAGAGCTTTGTAATGCTATGCCCTGCAACATACACTGGTAATATTTCTGTAGAATGCATCTGAAGATGCAGCAAGGAGCATAATAAAGCTTCCGTATTCTCTGCTTTTTTCTTTAACAGTATCGGAATTAAATACCTACTTCAGATTCAGAGCTTTGTGATGCTATGCCCTGCAACATACACATACACATATTACTTCTGTAGAATGCATCTGAAGATGCAACAAGGAACATAATAAAGCTTCCGTATTCTCTGCTTTTTTCTTTAACAGTATCGGAATTAAATACCTACTTCAGATTCAGTTTTTAACTCATATTGGAAACCGAAGTGAAAATGCATTATTTCCCCTCTCCTACTTTTGTAGGTGGTGTATTAGTGAGAACTATAATGCTACTTTTGCTACAGATGTTGCCATGTTTGGATGTTAGGTGCTGTGTAGCTTGAGTTCCAGGAGAGGGCAGTATAAATATTTGAATTTGTAGTCAGTAATTCTGCAATTGCACTGAAGGGAAAAGTGCAGGTGAAGAAAGATGTTTCAGTAAACTAGAAATAAACAAATGCCCTGGGAAAATGTGAGTAAACCTAGCAGAAATACTGTCTTAACTTTAAATGGGATAGTATGAAGTAGGATGAATTAGTAACAGCTGTGATAAAAAGAGTAGCTATAAGGCTCAGAAGAACTTCAGTAAATTCAGTAAATACTAAGCTAAATTCTTCCCATAAAAATACTGACATAAATGTAACAGAACCAAACACATGAACTACTGGTTTCCAGAGTATTGGTTTGCTCGTGATCCCCTTTAAATTTATTTTGGAAGCTGTGAATGCTTCAGCTCACGAATGACTAAATTCATCTTCTAGGAGCTTCAATGCATTTTCTCTTTTTTACTGAGGGCAGTAGATCTCTTTAGCTTTTTAAATAATACTAGTCTGATTTACTGCTGTCACACAGTGCTTTTATTTCATATCCAAGATTAGCTTACAGAACTTGGATTTATTGATCTTCAGGGAAAACTGAGATATCTCTGTTCCTGCAAGCATCTGGGGGAAGGTGTGTTTATCTGTGAGTCATTGCAGAAAGACTTTTACTTGTTCAGGGTGGGATGACAGAATTCTTACCAGGTGTTCATGTTCACAGCTTCTGTGTATTTTAACTGATTATATACTGTACAAAAGGTTTAATGAATGGTGTATCTGTGTAGACATACAAAAAACCCCAGCCTTGGCTTGATATAAAATACAGTATGGTTGTAACACCTGATGTTACTGAGAGATTTAGCTTAAAAATTGATCTGACCGTTTAGTTCAAAGATACAATTATTTTTGGCTGAACTATTAAAAGTTTTGTGATTTTGGCTAATACGAGATATCCCTAGGGTTTGTAATTACTCATTAAAAATTAGGCTGTGTCTATATTTGTAATGCTTATAGCAACTTAGTCTTTCCTTTTCTGGTGTCTCAGCTCAGTGTGAGATGTCAAAGTTGGCTTATTTTTCTAGTTTGTTTCTGGTACTGTAGTCAAAATATTTAAAAGCATTTGCCGTATGCATGAAATCAGAGCGTAGAATGCTTAAAAATGTTTATAGGTAACTGATATATTAGACCTATGACTATATTTTTCCTAAAATATTCCATTGTAAGCTTAAATGTAGCTGTAATAGGATGCTACATCAAAGGCACACCCAGTATCTGTGTGACAGTGGAAGTTGTCTGCAGCATTTGAGTATACATTTTCTTCAGTCATTCTTGCTTTCTAATAATGTCCTGATGTGTTGGGTTGTGGTTTTTTTTGTGAATCTTATATTTTGTCCTTGGTGACTTGAACTGAGCTGTATTTGTGAATAATTACTGTCCTTTTAACCTTTAAATATCTAAATGTCATGATATCAAAGTAAATAGTTTTTTTACATGTAATACACATAACTGGTGGAGTTTGCTGTTATAATTATTCCCTGAGATAGATACAAGATGTAAGAATAAGAAGAATTCCAAATGGATGCACACTTATATGCTTAAGTGTAACACCATCCTTTCCAAAGGACAAAAATGGCTGAATCTATCAAGTTGTTGTTTTGTTTTGTTGTTGTTGTTGGTTTTGTTTTTTTACCCTGAACATAATCGCTATCTGATAGGAAAGAAATTTCTTTGAAGTCTAGATGTGTTAATTCATTTCTCACTTAATCCATAGCAGAATTTGCAAAGTACTTAAATTTAAGGTAGAGTATATGACTGGGCAGAGTGTTGCTCTGTCCTGGAAAAGTCCTGAAATTTTCCTTGACTTGGAGCTGTTCAGCCTGGAGAAGAGAAGGCTCCAGGGAGACCTTACTGCATCCTTCCAATACTTAAAGGGGGCTTATAAGAAAGATGGGGACAAAATTTTTAGCAGGGCCTGTTGTGATACGATAAGGGGCAATGGCTTTAAACCAGAAAAGGGTAGATTCAGACTGGATACAGTTGCAAGAAAAAATGCCTTTTGGGATTTCATGGTGTTCTGTATTAGTTTGTCATAAAAGGTGATCTAACCATCATCTGAGTCAAGAGTATTGGCAAATATCATGTGCCTAAAATAATAACAAAAAACCCAATTCTGATCTTCCATGTCTTTATTGAACACATTCAAAATGCTAGTGGAAAAACTAAGTGAATCCTTGGAATCAATAACTGGTTGACCAGCCCCTGGCAGCAGTAACCTCAGCCAGGCACTTGAGTAGCTGTGAATGAGAGCTGCACATCGTTCAGGAGGGATTTTAGCCCGTTCTTCCCGACAGAACGGCTTTAGCTCCGTCATATTCTTTGGACATCTCATGTGTATGCCTCTCTTCAAGTTATTACAGAGCATCTCTATCAGTGGAGGTCTGGGCTCTGACTTGGCCACTCCAAAAGGCAGATTTTGTTTTTCTGAAGCCATTCTGTGGTGGACTTGCTCCAGTGTTTTGGGTCATTGTCCTGTTGCATCACTCAACGTCTACAGAGTTTCAGCAGATGTGCACATTAACCTAAAGAAATTTTGATACACTTGGGAATTCATCTTCCCCTCCAAGCTGGGACTTGCAAGCTGGCCAGTGATTGCAAGCTTCCCCTCAATGAATGCAAGCTGATGCAGCAAAGCAGGCCCAAATCATGATGTTTCCTCCACCGTACTTTATGGTTGGGATGATGTTTTCATGATGATATGCAGTGCCCTTTTTACTCCAGATGTAGTGCTGCGTGTTCTTTCCAAATAGTTCAGTCTTCATCAGTACACGAAACATTTTGCCAGTACCACTGTGGAGTGTCCATGTGCTCTTTTGCTAACTTCAGGCATGTAGCAATATTCTTTGTAGTAAGCAGCGGCTTCCTTTGTGGTGTCCTGCCATAGACACCCTGCTTGTGCAATGTTTTACGTACTGTAGACTCATGAACACAGATGTCAGCTGGTTCCAAGGATGCCTTTAACTCTTTGGCTGTCACTCGGGGTTGTTTCTTTACTTAATTGATGAGTCTTCGTTGTGCTCTTGGGGTCATTTTGACTGGGTGCCCACTTCTTGGTAGAGTAGCCACAGTCCCAAAGTGTCTCTATTTGTAGACTGTCTAACTGTAGACTGATGATTTTCTAAGGTCTTTGAAATTACTTTGTAACCCTTTCCAGCTTTATGTAAAACAACAATTCTTGATCGTAGGTCCTCTGAAAGATCTTTTTGGTGAGGCATGGCTCGCGTAAGCATACGTCTTGTGTGGAGGAAACTCAGAAAGTTTTAGTGGTTTTTATCAGTCAACGTGGCTGTAGTACACACCTCCAAACTCATTTAATTGACAAGACTCCAGGTAAACCTGACTCTGATTGGCTTTTCTGAGGTCTACTCAAGGATTCACTTACTTTTTCCACTAGTGTGTTCAATCAAGACATGGAGGATCAGAATTGTTTACGTGTTATTATTTTAGGCACATTCTATTTGTCAATACTCTTGACTTAAATGATGGTTAGATCACATTTTATGACAGAAACATGGCAGAACCTGGCAGAAACATGGCAGAACACTGTGAAATTCCAAAAGGTTCACACACTTTTTCTTGCAACTGTATAAGGAAGATTTTTTTTTACAATAGTGAAACAGGTGGTCCAGAGAGGTGCTAGAATCCTTATCCCTGGAAATATTCAAGGTCAATTTGGATGGGGCTCTCAGCAACCTGATGTAGCTGAAGCTGTCCCTTCAAACTGCAAGGGGTTTGCACTGGATGACCTTTAAAGGTCCCCCCCAACCCAAACTGTTCTGTGATTCTGTGTGCTGTTCAATACCGTACTGCTCTAAGAGCTTGCATATGGTAATGGGCTGGAGCCAACAAAGCTCAATTTCAATAATAATTACTGTACCAGTACTTTACCTCAGAGTGACAGCAGAATCTTTTATTTCGGTTGTTGGGTCTGTGATATTTTGAGTCTAACTCTAGGGATTAGACTGGGAATTATCCTCTGAGTATAATGTGACTTGGGTGTCATAAATAGTGTCAATTCAGGGGGCTGAACTTTCATTGTCTGAGAGAAGAATCCCCCTGAAGAGAGTAATGAATTGGAACATGCAGTCTTTTCTTAGTTCATGTTGGAGTTTTTTGTTTGGTTTTTTTTTTTTTTTTAAATGTAAGGGATTATCTACCATTTTTCATTGAATTTTTAGAACTTAGAGTAACAATTTTATTGCTCTTGCCAATCAGGGCACAATAACCGTTTTCTAGTGTTAGATATTCTTTTATCAGTGCTTCAAAGCCAAAATGTATATCACAAATACTTTTTTTTTTTCCCAAAAATTCCTCAAACCGTGGACTTCTCTTGAAGACTTGAAGTAGATTCTAAAGAGAATGCTTCTTTTCTTTACTGCTTCTGAAAGCTTTTTATTGTTGCTCAACAGATGCCACAGTTGGAGAAGAAGCTGGAAGAAGAACTTAAATGCAATGCCAGAATCATTGCCTGTCGTTTTCCTTTCCCTTGCTGGATCCCGAATCATACTACTGGAGAGGGAATAGACACTGTGTGGGCCTATGATCTGAAACATTCTGGGGAATACAAAACAAAAAGCTTGGAAATTACGCCAGAGACAGAATCCTAAACACATAATCTTGTGTGAAACTTTGGCTTTGACTTCACCTGTTAAAAGCTAAGATTAAGGACATGGAGATAAATATTCATGAAAGTGACTGAAGTATGCTGGTTGTCTGAAAGCACATAAAGGTTAGTAAAAGCCATAGTTAAATGGCTTAGTGTAGTTAGTAAAAATTATGGAAAAGTTTCATAGAAGTGGAAAATTTTACTATGGAAAATGGGATAAAACATGGCGCACTACTGTTAATGGCAATATATGTGTAAGTTAAAATGCTCAAACTGGTGAACTTAATCTGTGCTTTCTTTCTAAGCTGACATAGCATTTGTTACTGATGTTGGAAGTGGTGTACAAGTGGCTTCTCAAATGAGCCAGGGTTCCCAAATGTCTTCATTTTGTATGCCAAGTAGGCACAGTTCTGCATACATGAGACTGATGCGGGTTGATCATTATGGTGATATGAGTTTTTACACCTCAGCCTGGAATGTGTCTTTTTTAAAGCTGAAGATGATACAACAAACAAATAAAAATGCTTATTCCTTAACACAGGTCTAGCCCTTGATTATATTAATGTATTTTTTTAACTTGCTATATGAAGACAAAAATGCGGAAATGTACTCCTAAGGAACACTTACTGGTATAAGCCTCTGCAAATGACCATTATTTTTCCTAACCTCTCTGATTTAGGAAAGGTTTCAAAAGTCACCTGCTTGGCAGTGAAGTGTCACCCTTTTTGTGTTAAAACTTTGCATAAGGTATGGGTGAGAGTTGTTTATCTTGAGTGTGTCATGAAGACTGACTGTGATTCCAGAGCTAACTGCTCAGGCAAGCTTGCTTAAATCTGATCACACCTCATTTAATTTACAGTGAGATGGGAAGGGAGGTTTTCAGTCAGGCTTCTCTCCTCTGCTTTTCAATGCCATCTGATGAGATCTCAGAAACTCATGGTATTGCTCCATGGCTTTTTCTTGGAAGTGAAGATCTCCCTGTCTGCTTGCTGATATGGGCTTGTGGTGGGGTACTGTCACTGCTGTGACATTTTCCTTTTCTAACTTGTTACAGCACTTTCCTATCTTGTCACAGCCTCGTTGCTTGGTCTTTCTTTTGATTCCCAGGTAAAGTTCTGCTGTTTTCACCCATTAACAAGGTTCATAATTAAGCTTCCCCCAGCCACACTTGACATAAAACTCTTGAGTAGTGACTACGTAAGTTTGTCACACCTTTGCACATGGTACCCATAGAATGAAGCTGAACCAGGCCAGGGAATTGTCACCTGACTTCTAGGCAGTTGTTACCACAATGAAAATAACTTGGGCCAAGAGAAGTGCTGAGATCCTACAATTTCAGGTAAATACAAAGACTATGATGTTTTATTAGGCATTGGGAAAGCGTGTTTGCAGGATTATAGTATCTGACATGAAGAGAAGTTAGGTGTTATTTGGGATGTGTAGTCCACAGTTACACCTCTACCCAGACTTATTTTTTTTGGGAGGGGAGGAGGAAGGAGAATTTAAAATGCAAATATACCCTGAAGGCTTCAGATGGAGCAGTGAAATGGTTTTGTCCTGATAATGTGTACAAAGCAAGTGAAAAAAGCAACAAATGTGTCCAGTATGGAGCCTGCAAAGGAGCAATGGTTTCAGCTTTGCTTGGCAAGGCACAGCTGTAAGTGTGGAGACTGTTTATATTGAACACTGATTTCTGGTAAATCAGTGTTACAGCTTTTCACTGCAGTGTAACATAATGCAAACTGTAAAACTACACTAAACTTTCTACCATGATTTAAGTGCTACAGTTATTATGCAGAGCTACATATCCTTGTCTAAAATGACTGAATTTACTTTAATATCCTAAGGACTTAACACTGAAACCTCAAGACAAAAGAAAATCCAAAATTACTTCTATTGACAGAAGACCATACAGAGGGAAAATTAGCTACTTTAGTCTTTCCCCTAATGATTATAGAGGAGAAGAGTAGGTAAGAGATTTTGATCAAGTGAATTGTGTTTCATCTGCACTGCAGTGCTTTGACCCAAGTTTCTACTGTCTGCTTGCAGGGAATGAAAAAGATATTTACTTTTCTGCAATCTGTCTGTTGCATTATCTTTTACCTGTTAAAAGGTAAAACTGAATTTCTCAGTTTGGCCTGTGGTAAAGGCTTTGGGGTGTGTATTTTGCGGTTACCTCCTCTTGTTCCAGAAATACCTGTTTGGGAGGGCAAGGTAGAATTAATGATGTGATGGCCTGAGCTTTAGGAGTGCTGAGTGTGGACCTCAAGGCAAGGAGAGATTTATGAATGGTTTTAAAGTCAAGCAGAGGACTGCTTGTTGCTCGGCCATTTACTTTTTGGGCCCTACACTGAGATAGGCAGTGGTCTGAAGGTTTGGAATTCCTTATTACATAAGGAAATGTGCAGTATTGCCTTTTCTCATGACTGAAATGTGAAATGGAAAATTGCCCTAATTTACACAGGGAGACTGAGAAAGCATTTTCTTGTCATGTTGTCCTTGATTTCTCTATCATTTGTTCTGTTGCAAGATCAAATACTTAACTGTGATTTCACTTACCAGTGTATATGTTATTATGTCAATAGCTTTCTGTCATAGTTTAACCCCAGCCGGCAACTAGGCATCACAGCCACTTGCTCACTCCTTCCCGCAGTGGGATGTGGGAGAGAATTGTAAGGGTAGAAGTGAGAAAACTCGTGGGTTGAGATCCAAGGCAGTTTAATAGGTGAAGCAAAACCAGCATACACAAGCAAAGCAAAACAAGGAATTCATTCACCACTTCGCATGAGCAGGCAGGTGCTCAGCCATCTCCAGGAGAGCAGGGCTCCATCACATGTAACAGTGACTTGGGAAGACAAATGCCCTGACTCTGAATGTCCCCTCTTTTTCCCCAGCTTTATATGCTGAGCATGATGTCATATGATCCCTTGGGTCAGTTGGGGTCAGCTGTCCTGGCTGTCCCCACTCCCGATTTCCTGTGTACCCCCAGCCCACTTGTGGGTGGGATGGGGAGAGGAGCAGAAAAGCCTTTGACGCTGTGTGTGAGCCCTACTCAGCAGTAATGAAGACGTCCCTGCATCACCAACACTGTTTCCAGTACAAATCCAAACCATAGCCCCATACCTGCTACTCTGGAGTAGCTACCCAGCCAAAACCAGCACAAGTTCCAACTGCTAGGATAATATATTACAGTTTTGTAGATATGCTGCTTCTGAGTACAAATTTCTCTTTTCTGAAAACCTGGAAAGCCTTAGAGAACTGCCCTAATTAAATTATAAGGTAGATCTGAAACTAAAAGAAGGAAACCTTCAAGCTACACATGCCGTTCAATACCTAGGTAATCCAGATACACAGAAAAAACCATCGTTTATCTTGGTTTATGTCTTCTAGTAGAACGATTTGCCTTTTGGGAGTTATTTGTTTTATTCCTTCCTTGCCCTGTCAGATCTTAGCAAAAAAGTTGGTACATTGCTGAATGAGTAATGCTTTCCTGAAATATTGTAGAATTCGATCTGCTTGAAAATAATGCAGGTCAGAGTTCTTGAGAAGCCAGACTTTCAGGTTTTCTCTCTATCCCTTTCTCCGTCCCTTTCTCCCTCCTTTTTGCATTTGTCGTGGGTTAGGGCTGGGCTGGCCTCTTACACAGACAGATGCTCTCTAACCCCCTCTTCCCCCCCAAAATGGGAAGGAAAAGGGAATGAAGCAGAGAGACTTTCGGGTTAGAGAAGAAGAAAAAGAAACTACAACAGCTTTAATGAAACAATAATAGAAAATAATGGTGGAATGGTAAAAGTAAAGAACTATATACAACTGTAGATAATAGCCCGATATCAAACCCGACTCCCTCCCCCGATACAATCACCACTGATGCTGCAGAGCAGGAGGCACTGGGGAAGCCCCAGGCTGAGCGGTGGTGGCAGGGGCAGCCTTTTAGAAGAGACTAAAACTGAAAAGTAAAAGTCACTAAATAGGACTGGGTTTTAGCTCAAACCCAGGACATCATTGATACACATGTCCCCACAGGCTTTGTGATTTAAGATCAGTTGTACTAATGCAGCATCTGAGTGCTACAATTGTAATTCTGTAGTTTTCTGTTTTTCATAAATTGCCTTACTCTGGAGAAGGGGAGGGGTATGGCTACAAGAGAGCCATCTGATATTGCAGGTTGCTCAGTATACTGCACAGTCACTGCAGCTTCACAGCCATGTCAGCCAAGCTTGTCCAGATTTGGTTATGAAATATGCACATATTTTGTGAGCTTTATTCATTTCTGTTGTACTGGGTGCATTGAAGTTCTTGATTTATCCTCTGATCTGATTATATGCTGCCACTTAATCTAACGTTGCTCAAAGGAAGTTAATCCTCTGTCTCTGAGCAGTTGTTTTTTTCTGACTCGTGGGTTGTAGCCCAGTAAGAAGGTACAGAACCAAGTTTAAAATAAAGTACCACATTTCACAAGCCAGTTGAATGAGTGTGGTCTGTGGGAAACAAAAAAGTTCCAAAGACCAGGTTTTGGGAAAGTCTTTCCCTTTTAATGAAGGACAAAGCTCAGGAGCTGGCAGAGATCTTCCGAATTCTGCATAAATTTAAGAACAACTTAAGCTTTGCATTTCTTGTGTGTAGTCTTTAAAAATTTGTACTGCCAAAATGCTGTTCTAAGATCTACAGGGGAAGTAAGCAGAGGTAGCATTTTATTTTTTATCTTCTGAGCTACGGGAGAGGAGGAAGGGGATCTTGTGGCCTAAGGATGGCGGTTTGAACTATTCCAAAAACGTTTTGACAGACTTGTACATCAGCTGTGTGTGTTTCTTGGTGGATAGGAGCATCTATGCCAAGAATGGGCTGTGATGAGCATTCACTCAGAAATGGGTTCATGTCTGATGCCATTACATTTGAATGAGCAATAATTATTGATAGATCACCTCAGTCTTCTGTAGCTTCACTTTTTATGGTGGTTTGCAAATACAGAAGCATTTGTTTGAGGAAGGACATGAATCCTTC